TGGGGTATCTAAATAAGGTTTTAAAAAGTGATTTCAGAAGCTGTAGGGAATCATACGTGTGAGAACCGGTCTTTGGGGAATGTTACCCTTGGAAGTGTATCACTTGATTTCTCATTGCTGTATGGAGGAACGCTTGGTGACGTTGTAGCTAAACGTGCGAACTGGTTTGGTCAAGATTTGAGATGTGTTTGAAGTGAAGCTCTCTGTGGTATCTGTAGGCTCACTCACTTAATGCATGTCAAAAAGTCAGAGATGCACACATCTGAACTAGACCAAAACATTCTCAGGTTGAGGTGTGCCTCTGAACGGAGTTTGTTTGTATTGTTTGATGGCTGCTACACCTGAGCATTGCTTATCTGTTCAAGCTGAAAGAGGTGTTTCTGTAATCAACTCTCGGTTTATCAATTTATTGGCAATATGCGCCCACCGATTCTGGCAGATGAAGGCATGTGATGTTCCAGCGATATGGTGGTCACTTCTTGAGATCCTCCAGAGATCCATTATTTCTACATGTCTTGGGCTGTGTTCTACCTCTGGGAGCCAGTGTGGTATAGTGGTTAAGAGTGGTGGACTCTAATCAAGAGAACTAGGTTTGGTTCCCCACTCTTCCACATGAAGCCTACCGGGTGACCTTGGGCAAGTCACAGTTCTCTCAAAACTCTCTCGGCCCCACCTGCCTCACATGGTGCCTGTTGTGGGGAGGAGAAGGGAAGGTGATTGCAAGCTGCTTTGAGACTCCTTAAGAGTAGAGAAAAGCGGGGTATAAAAGCCAACTCGTCGTCTTCTACCTCTCGTTGTTGTTCCCGTTAACACCACTGCTTTCCAACGATAACATGCTGTTTCTTCCACCCGCAGAACTCCTGACCAAGCCCAGTGTGTCCGCCTTCCCATCTCCCTTTCTCATAGAGTCCACGGGTTCTGTTAATCTAACCTGTGAGACCACCTCCAAAGAAGTGTCCATCAGCTGGTTTTACAATGGAGAGCCACTCAATAGTAGCTCTCGGATCCAGGTATCCGAGGATAACCGGACCGTTGTCATCAAGGCCGCAACCCGTAATGATACTGGAGAGTATCAGTGTGAAGTGGTTGACCCGGTCTCCACTAGCATAAGTGACCCCTTTTACATTGCTGTGATCTGTGAGTATCGGAGTCTCACCACCTTTGGCGTGGCCTGTCACGGCAACTCTCTTCTCCCCTCTCCTGCAGTTGTATCCTGTCCCATCTTTGCCTCTCGATAGGCATCTCCGTTCCTTTCTTTTTATCACCTTTTGTTTTCGATCCTTCTGATCTTCCCCAGTCTTTGCTGCCTCTAGTAAAAGCGTCTCTTTTTGGGGGGTACTTGGCGAGACGGCGGAAATATCTGCTGACCAGACTGCTCGATATCTAAATATTCTTTTTGCCTCTTTGAGAACTCGGTCCCCGTTATTGATCCCTGGCTGGCTCTGCGGTCGTCTGCGGACCTGGTGGGAAGTCCCTTGCTTTTTCTTTGCCTCCATTCCCCTGAGCTTAATTTGAGGAGAAGGATCCATATCTTCCTGAGGGGTGAACAACTGATATAAAAGTGCCAGCTTCCTCCTAGGTGTGTCTGCGAAGCCCCTCAGGTGAGGTTCTAGGTAGGGTTGCTGTCTCCAAGTTGGGAAATTCCTGGAGGTTCGGCAGGGAGCCTGGGGAGGACAGAGTTCAGAGCAAGGCGGTACTCTTAGTCGGGATGTGATTCTGTAGTTTCCGCCCTCTGAAGCGGCCATTTTCTCCAGG